CTTCGAAAATTTAAGATATCTAATTACGTCATAAGATGCAAAAAAAGTAGGGATCATTTGAGAGAAACAGAACACTCACGTGGTTCAGAAATGTGCTGTCCTTGGTTGCCCACCCTATCTGCATCACACCAGGTGTAATTATTAATGTCTCATAGTACCACACACCAGAGTCTACCTGGAATGTGCAGCGGACACTTTCGAAAGAGTACGTATCACACCTCGCCTAAAATGACAAACAAATCCAATAAAAATAGGCGATCCTGTTAAGACAAGCGAGGCGGCCAGAGACAAAATCATAGCATAACGTTACTTAATACTAACGACACACTAACCAGCAATGTTTTGGCAACACGATTGAAACGTGACACTCGATATTAATTCTGAAATGCTCATTCCAGATCCGGGCTTAAAATTTTCGTATAACACCGCAGTTTAGAGGTGGTAAATAAGAAAGAGCAGTGAAAGGAAAGATAATACTATTCATAAGAGGTTAAAAATGACTTTCTGCATGATGAACTTCAATCAGAATAATGTATTTCTATCACTTTTTTTGAACTTCTCTGGGTATTTCTGTCACAAACGTCAACCATAATGTGAGATTAAATAGTTTTATTGGCAGATTCCAAGTACTTTTTTATTCATCTGTTTTTTTGTCCCCACTTAATGGTACCTGCACCTTGTCATGGTGGTGGGGCTCGAGTACCTCAGTGACCCCAAGAGCTACTGGTAGGGCCTCCCTAGCCAGATTGGTCGAGGGGGAGAGGTCAGACTAAGACAGGTACCCTGGTCCTCCAGGTTGGGGGTTGGTCGCAAGGCTAACAACCTTGCACCGTAAAAAGGAAGATGTTTCGAAACCTCGATCAAAGCCTCGGACAGACGGACCTAACAGAGGACCGAATGGAAGAGGAGAATTGAGGAGGCCATGGACCAAATACGGACCGGAGAGCCATAGTAGAAGAAGAAGTGTTTTTCTGTGTATATTTGTTACATTTGCAACCATAATGTTGTGTCTCATAACGTATCCAAAAATCACAAAGAACACGTTTGGGAAATATGTGTACTCCCATACAACATAATTTTCCATTTCTTTTAAACAAATAAGAGATACATGTAAATTAAGCATAACTTATGAGCCTACCTCTAACCCATTAGGAGATATTTTTAGGTATTCACTGACATCCTTAGTGTTGAGCATGACGTTGATTCCAGATGTATCGACGCATTCGTAGGAAAACTTGCGACCTTCAACTAGGACTGAAAAATACCAAAAAAAAAACAAGACAAATATGTTTCTGGTCATACAAATAAATTATAATAATGATAAAAAATTTATTTGATTTGGTGCTTAATTTAAAAGCACACCATAAAGGCATATAGGGGAGTGGAGGTATAGCTCCACACAATTCAATGGGCAAAGAAGTCCATAAGACATAGAACGTGTGTATCGTCAAGATCTAAAACTTTTAATTTCACCCTTTAAAGCTCAGGAAAAACTATACATGCAGTATGCGTTTTCGGAGATAAATGTATGTACTACCTGCTTTAACATTCGGTTACTCCATACGTTGCCCACTGATTATATTTATAGGTTTCTGTATGATTCATGAGTCTAAAAATTAAAAGTTTTTCTTCCTTAAACAGCAGAACCAACTAATCTTTGTAACGAAGATGCATAGTGTTTTTTTCTGAAGTACAAACTAGATTTTTAAATATTACTTAGATGACCTATAAGTTTCGAAGAGTTGTAAACATTTATAAAGCAGAAGGAACAAACAATTTGTAACGCTATGAAATGTAATATCTGTCATATCTGATTAATCATAAAGTTTAAGTTGGCATCTCATATGACACATGTTAAATCATCATAATATTGTCTCACTATTGTAATGGTAGTGTCCCGAGCCGTAGCCACGCGGTCTGAGGCATCATGCTTCGGACCGGTTATACGGAATGCGCGCTGATTCGAGTCTTGGGGGAGAAGAATTTTCTCATGAGCTTTCAACCGGTGTATGGGACCGGAGGCAACCCAGCATCATGTGGAAATTGGGGAGCTACGATATGCAGCGTAATCCGGTCAGGAAAACTAGCAATGGCTGGGGGTTCGTCGTGCTGACCACACGTCACCCTATATCTGGTTGGATGATCGTTCACCTCTGCTTAGGCATGTGAACGTGAGGCCAGCAGTCAAGCTAGTCGGCTTTGGCTCTCAGAGGGCTGTTACACCACGGATTATTATTATTGTAATGGTAGGTTTCTATTGCAAGTGGAACGTCACCACCGAGCCTGTGATGCACTCATGACACAGTGCTGAGACCCTATGGAAGCAGTCCCTTCACAGATTATTTTGTGGAGAGAGGAACAATCAGCAGTAGATAAGAAATTCTAAAATCTGCCAGAAGATGCAACACTTACCACGTACGACATACAAAGAGACCTATTACAGAACATGAACATAATACTCACATAAATTATCAAGGCACCACTGAGCACAGAAGCCAACCTGCCTCTTGACGTAATGCTCCGAATTTACCCACTTCTCCAAACACATGAGAGGATTTCTCAGTTCAGCTTCCAAATACTTCTTAATTGTTATTTTGTTCTCACCTGTGTTCAGAAAACAATATTTTATCTCAGTTATATTAAAAATTTACAAGACATCTTCTGACATAACGTCAATACTTCAGTAACTTATTTCTAGCATCATTCTCATCAGAAACTTCACATGAACATGGGTCCATTTCTCAAGGATTATGGAGCTTTGGATATTTCAAATCCACAAAGATCTAAATCAGTGGTCCCCAACATTTTTGTGCCTACGGGAACATTTGAGAGTTATGAGATCGTGGCGGGCACCAACCAATTAACAAAGCCAAATTTTCTTTTCTCTGGA